ATGTGAGAGGTCAGGGTATTAATTAATAATATCTTGGGTCACTGTGTAATAGTGGATTGGTCCCAGGCAGTGATAACGGAAACACATGACTGATACTGATCGGCCGATCAGTATCAGTCATGTATTTCCGTTATCACTGCCTGGGACCAATCCACTAATACCCAACGACCCAAGATATTATTATTACAAATATCCCGATACTATTCTAGCCACAATGTCCGCTTCTGCTAGCAATCCTGATTTTTCATGGTTATTTAATATTAGCTTTACTAAAGTTATAGCTGTTCCGGGAAACAGTATCTTTCTTATATCCGGATCTAATAATTTATTATAATCCAAATTCAGTTTTAAAGTGGGATTTTTTGAATTGTAGTTATCACCATATATTTCTTGAAAAAAGCTGTTGAGCTCTTCATTCTATAAAAATAAAGCAAGTTATATAATAATATAATAAATTCATTTAATTATAAGGATTTGAAGATATGCATACCATTCGCCAATTGTCCTTAAGTTGAAGCGTGCAAGGACCATATTCATGTTTTTGTCCTTTTTCCAGGAAAAAATTACCTTCATTAAAGGAAGTGCCATTCTCTTTTCTCATTAAACACTGTTGAATAGATCCAAAAATAAAGGGATGATCATCTGGAAAAGTGGGATATGTATTTTTAATGATGGGTCCAAGTTGCTACAAAAAATACGTTCGTATCATAATTCGTAATTAAAATTGTTAATAAGCACTATATAAATAATGTGATTTTACCATGTGATCCCCAGCAATAATTAACTTTCCGTGATCCAGATCCAAAATTTCAAGGACGACACAAGCATCCGAAGTCAGGAGCTAAAAAAAAAAAAAATCTTTATATTTAAATGTTTATTTATAATAAATCTTATTAATAAAAAAATTTAAATGTCGCATTTACCTGCGATCCTTCATCTATAATCATAATATCACAGCGACATTCGTTATGGACCTTATACCAATTCCATACTGTACTTCCGATAACGATAGGTTTATCACCTTTGATTTTGTTTTTCAATTGCTTAGGCTTACAATCTTTTATGCCTTCAAGCGATTTCTTTAGTGACTTTTTATCATTTGTAATCCGAAGCATTGAAAAAGCGCTTGTTTCTTTACGCAATTGAGAAATACGTTCCAACAGGTTATCTATAGCGGATTTGGTGTAAGCAGTAATTCCAATAATACAATTTTTTTTTTCGGTACGAGATATTACAGCAGTCAGGTACCATGTAACAAACAACGCAAGAAAATGAGTTTTTCCAGATCCCTTATTGAAAAACGATTATTATTATTCAATATTATAAGATTCAAAAAAAAAAATACTAAAATGTATGAAAAAAATTATAATTATAATTACTGGTGGACCCAGACAATTTGTAACCTTTTTTCTAACAATTCTGTTGCAATTTCTTTTTGTGATGGAGACATGGAGAATTTATCACATAATTTCAAAGCAGTGTCCTTTAATTCCTTTGAATAAGTATATTCTTCAGATGAATGCGATCCCCATATATTTGGATTTTTTAATATGTTCTAATAAACAGTTTCATTAGAGTATTTAATTTGTTTTTAATTAATTTGCAATATAAATTCTCACCAAAAATAAAGAATTTTCTTTCATATCAATTTTCTTAAGCATTTTTAGAATCTTATCAGTGTTGAGATCTAAATATCTTTTATATAGACGATACGTGGCATCTTTTTTAAGCTCCAAATCAGTAAATTTTCCTTTTAATTGGATAATAATTCCTGTGGAGCAATTATCAACATCTTCAAGAGAAAAAATCGACAATGGACAGCCATAGCTCTTATTTTTATATTTTATATCATTGAAACGGATAGCTTTAAGAGTTCCCTTAATAACAAATAAAACATCATTATAAAATTGCATAATCTTAACAATATAAATTAATAACATGCAGAGTATCTTCAACCAAAATGAATTCTTTGAGTAAGGTTTTTTTGAATGTGAATGAATCCTCATCGCAAACATTGAATTGAGCTGTTAATTCTTTAGATTTATTAGGATCTCTTATAATTTTGTCAAACTTAATTCTACACGTAGCTTCTTCTTGAGCCAAATCTTTTAGTCGATCTTTTTTCTGTTGAGAACTTGATGTAAATGCTTCAAATTGTTTAAAAAAGTATAATTTTCTCAAATAATCATGTTTAAAATCTTGAATAGCTTGAACATTGGAAACAACAAATGCTTGAGGGGAAAATAATAATATCGATGCAATATCATTTGTCGACTTTTTAAGAAGTACATAGTATGCATGAATAACAGAATTAACAAATTTTGATCTCATGAAAAGAATTTCATTAATCACTTTGTTTTCAGTTGCAGAAACCCATGCTGCATATATATCTTCGAGATCAATTCTATCTATATAAAATTCCAAATCGTTTGGTGCTTGATAGCATTTTAAAGTAGGCTTCACCATTTGTTCCCAAACATCGGTGACTCGATAAAAACCTGGAACATTTATTGCAATATTTTCTTTCAAAGATTGTTCCAGAACGATAAGTCTAGGAAACTCCCTAAATCCATCAGTAAGTTCCAAACTTTTATAATAATCATTCTCAGCAGCTAACAAGAGAGAACAATCTTCAAAAATATTAAAGAGGCATAGGATTGCTTTATGCTGATCACTTTCAGAAATTTGATTTGGATCTAATGTTATTAATTTAAGTAATGAGTCTTGAATTGCAATCTTTTCTTTTTTAGAATAAACAAATATACATGCATGGGAATTGTTCTCACTTAGGAAATTGAACGTCCTTTCTAAACACGTAACAAATTCACTCATCAAAGAAATAAATGATGATAATGTTTCATTTTCAGATTTGGAATTGGATTTAGCATACTTAAATTTGTTTATAATATTTCCATCACTTGTATAAAGACATATAGACCAACTAAAAGGACGTGATACAAAATTATCTAAAGACATTGCAATTACAAGATTGTGATCGGTTTGCTGAGGAAAGGTTGCTGTTGGAATATGAATAAACTATATAAAGCAAAGAATTAAAATTTGTTTTGTCAAACAATTCATAATTCGAAATTAAAATAATAATTATTATTATTACCTGGGCACCTGATTTAGATTCAAGATACGGTGATTTTTTACTATATTTGTCATATTTAATAATCTGTTTTACTTTGTTATCATTTGGGCCATTTTTTATGTAGCTAGCTAATTTTTCAATATCTGGCTCATGTTTATATAGCTTATCACCACGTCTTTCATTTCGAAAAATTTGTTTCAAGTGTGACGCCTCTTCCCTGGATAAATATGGGATCATGGCCACTGTCCTCAGTGCTTCATCACGACATACATTTACAAATTTGCAAGTTTTACAATGTGAATTGTAGTGCCATGAAACTTCTTGAGTTGATATTATTTGCGGAAGTTCGTTGCATAAAAACCGTTTAACTCTTGGAAGAATCTGATCTATAGAGAACGTGTGATGTTTTAAGCCATCTGCTGACGGTAAAAATATTCCGCCTGTTCGAGAAATTGAAATTTCGCACATATTATTTTTGATTATATGATCTAAAAGATAAGCGTACGTGGTAACTTGGAACTTTAATAATAAAGAAAGTTTAATGACAATCAAAATTAAAATTATGAATATATTATTAAAAAACGCTAATACCATGGTAACCTGATTTTACCTGATGCGAAATGCGTGTTTCCTTTGTCGCTTTAGCATCCCATATCATTAGACGCTTTTCACCATCCTCTTCGATAACTTCTATGAAGTCAGGAATAAAAGGTCTTAGCTTATAGTTCTTGATTCCTAATTTATCATAAAAGTCATCTGGAACTTCGAATTTTAGCTGATATAGGAATCTTCCTATTTGAGCATTTTGTAAAATTTCTAAAGAAAATCTTGCTTTATTGTAGTTGTCTACATTTTTTAACTGAACAACGACTTTTTTTTCAAATTCTTCGCCTCTATTTTGTAAGACTTCTTTTAATGTTGAATGACCCGTTTTTTGTTTTTTATAACCTTTTTTTTTGATATTTTTTTCTTTATTTTGTTTTGTCTTATCGATATTTTGCAATAATTTATTACAATAAAAGTTATAATACTCCGAAAGTTCTGAAATTGTGAACGAAGAAATTTCTGAAGTAGATTGCTAGATCGGAATTAAATAATACATGTTTACGCCTTAACTTTTTTAATGAAAATGTCTTTATGATTTAGCATAACTAACATTTTACTGACCTGTGACATCTTTTCATGAGTTAGTTCAGATAATAATCGATCTATTTTATTAACCGCGTATTTTATGAAAAGTTGTTTTTTTTTTAGTTTTTTTTTTTGCAAGTTTTGACAGATCAAAAAAGTAGGTTTTATAATGTTTTACTGGCTTTATGAATGCTATACCTTACCAACTACCTAGCCAAATTTGGTGATTTGCGACTCTTTCTGAAAGAATTTCAAAATTAAGGACTCCGAATAAAATAAGTACGCATTCATTTTTAGTGATCTATAAATATTTCGCATTAAAAAAAAAAAAAAAGATTACAACTTTCATCCCGAGAATCACTAGATGCTCTTGATTCCTGGATTTAGAAACATAAGATTTTTTTAGCCTTTGCCTATTTTCGAATAACCCGATTCTACAAATTTGTAAAATCAAAGAATTAGATTTGGTTAAGTTGTTTAGTTATCCACGATTATAGTTTAAATGATTTACCTGGTCTCTATTGAATTCGTTCAATATATACATCCTATCTAAACTATGAATGCTACCAAAAGAAACTGCATATCTAAAAATAATCTTTTATACAAAGTCATGCAGTTTTGTGATCCATAACTAATTGTTTTAATTATCATTTTTGCATTCCCGCAGTCCATTTGTAAAAATTTCTATATTTAAATGTACGATATTCTTTTAGAGAAACTCATATCTATATCTATATAGTTATGCAAACGAATTAATTATGAGACAATGTAAAATGTTATGGTAAACTGGTTTTTAACGTAAATGAAATTGAATCGTGACTAATGACATACATAATTACGCCGCTAATTCTATCAAACAAAAGATTATGGATTTGAACAGGATGACTGAAATCCTGATTATGCACTAGGGCTACACGAAATTTTATATACCTGAACTAGACACTTGAAATAAAAGTGTTAAAATGCATTAGATTGATAAGTAATATTGATGTATAAATGTATGCAGTGTTGTATATTATTTTCATAATGATATTAATGTAAAAATCGTGTATAACGATAACGATAAAGAGTATTTGTTCTATAAATAAATCTACGTGTAATTGTACTCTTTTTTGATCAAGATTTTCATCCATTTTAAGCGGAAAATGAATATATAAGGAAATGATGGCTAACACGACTTGAATTGGCAAGTTCTGTTGACATAATTATCGCACATTAAAAATGATGCATGCACTGTATTTTTGATCAAATTTTGTAATCTCATTTAAATATGAGTGCCCGCCAAGAGAAAATCCGTAAATCATAATATTTACGGCCACTCAACCACTCAACTAAGTAATTTTGCACAATTACACAATAGGACTACAATCAGGTGCATTGTACATTAAGCGCACCCAGAAAATGTTTATACAGTGCAGGACAGCAAAAACATCCAATTTTTTTTATACAAAGCGCCAAATTTACAATTATTTAATCAATTTTGATTGGCTAATTTTATGTAAGAAATTTTAATTGGTTAAAAAAAATATATAAACTTTTTTTTTATATAGTAAACGCCAAATTTTTAATTTTTAATAATAAGCATTAACCAATAAAATTGCTAGCACGTGACTTGTACTAAATATAATTGGTTAATTTCTTTGCGCCAAATTTCTGCTTTACTAATAAAATTACCAAACTTTGATCCCTTATAACTTTTGTAAAAAGTAAGATATTAAAAATCTGTCTTACAGATTTGTAGTTTAGGTTATAAATATAAATTTGTAAGAGGGATTTTTAAATTAATTATTTGTTATAAAGTTATCAGACATTTAACAATTGCTAAAAAATTGGATGTTTTTTGCTGTCCCGCACTGTAGTACATTTGGTTCGGATTGGCTAGAATAACTACCAACTGTATCGCCATCTAAAATGTCACTTTCACGTGACGAACCACATCAAATTAGCCAATAATTAATCGCAATTTGGTGCAACGTAACACGATTATGTAAAAAATTGTTATTTCTCGAAAATTCGCAGCCTTTTGCGCACTAACAAAAAATTTCTTGAGTAATTTTACTATACCTCCTTCAATCTCTAACATTCGTTAAAACGCTAACCCTAACATAAAAGAACTTAAAAAGTTTTTTTTCGGCGATAACGATAGTGACATTTCTGCATTTTTGAACAATGTACCAGAAATAGGGTCTGGCATAGTGTTTGACCATCTAAATCACCCGGGTCACCCGTCGGGTGGACAATAAGCCACCCGGATGGAAATCGGGTCAACTTAAAATGTCACCCGGCGAGTGACCCGACGGGTGACCTGTCGGTTAGTATAAAAAGACCGCCAAGACGGTAATATACATAAAGGATTACCTTTTTTCGAATTCTAAACACCTAGTGAAAATTATTTATGACAGATTCTATTAAGTTTTGATTTCAGCACGATTGGTATATATTTTTAGACGTAATACTTCGGGATTAGAACCATACAGCTAAAATCGGAATAACGTCTAAGATTAAAAAATATCAGGTATAATGCGAAAATCATGCATTTTTGCTTTTCTTTTTTTTAAAAAAATCGCTAACACAGAATTTGTCTATGAAATTACCTTTTGCGTTCTAACAAAAAAATTCCTTGCAAAATTTTGATATAGATTACGCCACTCTCTTGACCTTAAACCAAATCTTAAAGATATGGTTTATTGATTTAAACCTTTCGTTTAATTCGATTGTTTTGATTATATCACACCTGATCTGCCAAAATCATGTTTCAGCAAATTTTTTTTATGTGTGAGCTTCTAACTATGAAAAATACTAAAATTACAGTTTCACACGGCCCACCACAATATTTATGGTTACGCCCCCATGTTACCATCATAATACTATTCTCATTTTTTAGTGACAAATTTTGTCGTCATAGAGTTTATATACGCAGATGACTCACTCAGTCAAAGCACTATTAGTGACAATTAACAAAAAATTTTATTAAAATCAAATATATAAATAATTAGAACGTCAAAATTGCAAAGATTAGATATTACTGGCTATAAATAAATGAATCAAGCTTATATTTATTCAATCTATTCAAATAATAACATTGAATAATAGATAAAACTACAAAGAAAACTTAAAATGATAGTGTAACAGTATGACTAGTTATATAGAGTCACCTGCCAGATTGTCTGCCATCCTGTTTATTACATGATTTTAATACACATTTTTCTTGATAATTTTTAGACAGAAATTAGTAAATATAAAGCATTAATGTTTAAAATAATTTATATATATATATTAGAAACATTATCATGCAATATTTAAAGGGAAACATGCATATATATCCAATCTGATAACACAAATACTGGTATATTTTGCTAATATACTATAACACAGAAATATTTTTTTCAGATTAAAGTTACAAATAAAGCTTACTAGCAACATTAGCATTATATGCAATAAGGAATAAGTACCTAATAATTGATACTAATAATCTAAAGATCAAATATGAACTACAAATTCTGTGACTATCAGATAATTTTGCTATTATAAAGGATGAAACACATCCAAAAATATATGGAGGAGTGTAAAGAAGTTGGAAAATAACTAATAAAGAAATAGGCAGATAAAATTACATATTAATTTATAGTATAAACAAGATAAAAATAAAATTAAATGAATATTATCAACATCAAATCCTAAACTGTTCACGATTGTTAGAATGAAAAAAGTAAAAGAGTACATAAATAAGCAGACAAGAATATAAATATAAATAAGATTTTCTAAATAATATAAATCAATTTACTTCGCTCTGGTACACACTTACAAAAACTAATTTCAAGGCAAAAACCTTGATACTTACTATGACAAGTATCTTTCAGATGATAGAAAACAATTAGCATATCATGACAAAATACCACCTTCAACACAATCATGCTCCATTTGGCTGTTATACCAACTATTGGTCATCATACACACACATACATTACTTATCTTGTTGAACTTTGTGTTTACAACTACAAATTCACAAACCTCTATTAAGGTCTTCACAAACATCCTCTTTTTCACCAACTTGGTCAACCTTACACACTTGGTTCTGCTGCACAACTATCCTATACTGGATAAACAACATCATGTTTATCTGCTTCTGATACTAAAAACTCTAATCTATGACCAGGAAATTGAAATCTCATTTGATAAAGATACCAAAATCCAGGAGACTATAGATACTATTTTCTCATTAGACTCTGCGCTACAGCAGTTCTTATACAACCATTTACTCTAAGGCTTCTTAACAACCCCTATATCTATCTGTTAAAAGATACACTAAAACAAGTATACCAAATTAATAACCGACTTGCATAGTTTAACTAATAATGAATTAAGAACTGGCATAAATCTCAAGAAAACATCAACTGAATACAAACATTACAATATATCACCTACGGTGAAAAATCACAAGCCTTAAATACTGACCCATCTTCTTCAGCAATAAAAAATTTCAAGATCAAACTGATCTCAAAAAAACTACTATTCACCTTCTGCTCCATTGGAGAAATGCCACAAAGTATTCTAATTACTGTTGCCCAAGATGTCTCAATGGTGCTGAAGATATTGCACATCTTTTAACCTGCATTCGTAACCATATACATCTTTCGACTCTAATCATGCAAGCGATACAAGAAACCTCATAAAAAATAGAGATACCTCACTTCCACTTGGACACCTTTATTTGGGCCTTTACTAACTTCCATGTCAACAAAAAAATACCTCTTGGATTAATCACTGAAAAAACTTTAGCACCCTTTGAAAAAACAAGGATAAATACAAATATGCACCCTTATCCACCATAATATTGTCACTGTGATATATAAAAAATTATGGCTCAAATCCAGAACAATGCAACACAGTTCTACTTTCCTACTACCTCCTCCATTACAACCTCTGGCAATGAACAGAACAGAACCACTTACATCTACACTCATACACAATAAGATTCAATAATATATAACTTACAGACAGTTTTTTCTTAACTTCCTTATCAAAGACTAGAGGTCTAATAACTATTCTAGCAAAGAATGGGTTGAGAGTAAAGTAGCTCTTACCCCTATCTCCTATAGTATAGTTTTCTCTTTCATGTATCTCATATATATATATTTAAACTATTAAATAAAAGAGATAGAGGATAGACCTCTCTTTAAAAAAATATATATATATATATATATATATAAATCAAATAGGTTAATTTATATAAAGTATAAATATTTGTTTTTTTTTGTGGGAATCTTGTGAATATTGGGATCTTGTAATGTAATGACTAGAGGAAAAACTTTGTATCAGCTGAGCCAATTTAGCTTAGAGTCATAAGCATTAATATAAGAAACCAATTATTTATTAATACACACAAGGCACTATAAAATATGAAACTAATAACTCTTTATTGTGTCTCAGACACTAAAATAACAAATATCTATATTTAACTAACTGACTTAGCAAGTTCCAAACTTACTAAAAACTAATAACCTTCCTAAAAGACCTCAAAATCTACCAAACTGTATAAACTAACTTCTTCAACTAATGTTCTAACACCATTCCGTATTCATAACAATATTCAACTTTATGCATTTCGCTAGCATTCCCCATTTCAGCAGATTTTTGATAATAAATGAATGCTTTATGTTCATCCATTTCAACCCATTTGCTATGCTTATAACAAAATGCGAGAATGAATTGAACCATAGGATCAAATTGATTATTTAAGCAGTATTTGATAATATTATTCAGATTTTGCTTTTTTTTTTACTAGAAATTGTTCTAAGATGTCTAGAATTGAATTGTCATATTTGCCTTTCAAAATTTCTTCATTATACAGTTTATACATTTCTTTAATGATTTCATCAAGAATATCCTGAGAATTATCTTCTAGATATAATTGGTTAACTTCACTGGATATTTAGTAACATTTAGGACATTATCAATTTTTTCTGGTCATTTGACAATTTACATTTTGACTCAATTAGGGATGGGGAAGTTTGGTCTGATCTAATATAAATTCTTACTTATGCAATCAAATTTGAATTAAACCAAACCGAACCAAACCAAACTTCCCCATCTCTAGACTCAATACGAGAGTATGACTTCACTGAACACAAACAGTATTGTGGTGGATTTTTACTTGTATAGTTTTATGTTCTCAAAACAGTACTTCAAAGCACTACTCAGGCAATTGATTTATAACAACAGATCAGCAGGTTATATACTTGAGAAAGGCACAACATCTACAAATTACCAGAAAATCAGCCTTGTTTCAAAATAACGCCCATGTGTGTACTCTAAATAATGCGCATATACTTAAAATAATGCGCAGGTTGGCGTTATTACACAAAAATATGGTATAAAGCTAGCTGATCAAAAAATTCTTCCCGATATAATTAAATAAGGATTTTGCTATTCAGATAAAAAAATAACTAATCAAATACAAATGTTGTTTATATATTATACTATTTCTTATACCATATAATAGTGCTTAACCAATCAAAATATATAATTTGCAAATTATATTTTATTTAAATATTTATTTGAATATACTGACAATTAATCAGCAGATAACTCACATTAGATTTTTTAAAATAAGTCTATCTATAAATAATTTATTGGAATATTGTGTATTAAATTATTTATTATCATAGTGCAGCACCATATATAATTGGCACTAGGGATGTTAACTAGTTAAAAATTAGCTATATCAGTTACAAACTGGCAGTTAACTACATAAACTAGTTTAATTGGTTATATGAAACTAGTTATAAAATTTATATAACCGGTTATTAAAAACTAGTTAAATTTAAGTTAAATTAACTAGTTAAATTATTCGTTAACAGCTAAAATTAAGCACTTATATGTATATATATAGTTGTAATTAATATAAAGCTTTATTCATTATCGCTATGTAAGTTTGTTTAAAAAGAATATTAGTTTTTCCATTTTAAAAATCGAAGATTTCGATATAATGATAAATTCGTAAACTAAAAGAAGATAGTTGATTAATTATCTTTTCTGTTAAATATTGTTTTTGCAAGTTTAACCGGTTAAATAAAAAAAAATTTGAACTAGTTATTATAACCAGTTACTTATATGAAAAATGAACTAGTAATTATAGTTTATGACTTAGTAACTAACTTGATAAACTAGCTAGTTAAACTGGTTTTGGCTCTGATGAAAACCGTTTAAGTCCCGAACTGAGTCAATATGGTTAGATCCTAACTACTTAACATCCCTAATTGGCACTATATAAGATTTTTTCATTTTTGTCATTATTTTATTGAAAAAAATTTACTATAATAACTTATTTTTAAAATTGTATACTGTATCTTTAAAATGTTTAATTTCTGCTCTAGTAAAGCAAATTCAATTATGTAACATGCAAATAATATATAAATATATAAATAGCATAGCTTTAAAACTATATTAAGATATTTTTTAAGGATATTGCTATTTATCGCCAGTGGCGATATCGCCGGGATACAATATCTCAAAAACCTACTAGCTAGCACGTGTCGAAGGTCCTAAGTAAAATTGTTCAGGACCCCCAAAAACCTAACCCAAACAAAGATTTGGACCCTTATACCTAACCCTAACCTTGGTCTAAAATTGCACCCTATCTCTAAATTTGACAAAAGAAATAGGTGGTGGTATCGCCACTGGCGATAAATGCTAAAATCCATTTTTTAATTTATTTTATTAATATAGTTAAAAATTAAATAATTTTAATTATGAACTTAATTATATTAAATAAATAATATACCCTCAACCCAAATGAATTCTTTGAGAGCAATTTTTTCGAACACGAGAGCTCTATGCAAAAAAAATTAGGCTGTTTTATTCTTGGAATTTATTAAAGTTACCTATCATTTTATCAAACCTAATTTTACACTTAGTTACTCCCTGAGCAAAATCTTTTTAGTTGCCCTTTTTTTCTTTTGTCAATTGAAATAAATACTTTAAATTGTCTATAAAAGTATAATTTTCCCAAATAATGACTGAAAACTTGAACATTGAAATAATAAATGCTTGAAATGAAATATTAATATTGATGCAATATCATTTATCAACTTTTTTAAGAAGAGCATAATAAGCATGAATAACAGAATTAACAAATTTGGATCTCATTAAAAGGGTTTTATTAATCACTTCTTTGTCTGCAGTTGTAGAAACCCATGTTGTGTATATGTCTTCAAGATCGATCTTGGGTATATAAAATTCCAAGTCGCCTAATATTTGATTGTTTTTTAACGTTGGTCTCACCATTTGTTCCCAAACATCAATGATTCGATAAAATCCTGGAGTATATATTGCAATATTTTCTTTCAAAGATTGTTCCAGAACGATTAGTCTAGGAAATTCCCTTAATTCATCAGGAAGTTTTGAACTTTTATCAACGTTGTTCCCAAAAGCTGACAAGAAAGAGCGGTATTGAAAAATATTTAAGATACGTTGCATTGCTTTATACTGATCGCTTTTAGAAGTTTGATCCAATGTTATTAATTTAAGTAATGAGTCTTGAATTGCAATTTTTTCTTGTTCAGAATAAACAAATATAAAAGTACAGGAATTTTTCTCGCTTAGAAAATTGAACGCATTTTCTAAACACGTAACAAATTTGTTCATCAAAGAGACGAATGATAATAGAGTTTCATTTTCAGATTTGGAATTAGATCTAGCACGCTGAAATATGATACTTCCATCACTAGCATAAAGACATATAGACCAACTAAAAGGATGTAAGACAAAATTATCCAAAGACATTGTAATTACGAGATTATGATCGGTATGCTGAAGAAAGCTCCTAGTTGGAGTATGAATAAACTATGCAAAATAATAATTAACAATTTTTTTTGTCAAACTATCACAATTCGAAATTAAAAAACACTAGTTACCTGAGCATTTGTTTTAGATTCAAGATACGGTGATTTCTTGCTATTCTTGTCAAATTTAATAATCTGTATTGTTTTGTCATCATTTGGGCCATTTTTTACGTAACTAACCAATTCTTCAAAATCTGGCTCATGATTATATGGCTTATCACCACGTCTTTCATTTCGAATAACTTGTTTTAGGTATAACGCATCTCCTTTGGATAAATATGGGATCATGGCAATTGTCCCTTTTGCTTCTTCACGACATTCATTTACAAATTCACAAGCTTTACAACGAGAATTATAATGCCATGAAACTTCTGGAGTTGATACTATCTGTGGAAGTTCTTTGCATAAGAATCGTTCAACTTTTGGAAGATCTATAGAGAAAGTTTGACGTTTTAAGCCATCTTCTGATGGTAAAAATATTCCACCTTTTCGAGAAATTGAAATTCCACACTCATTATTTTTGGTTATATGATTTAAAAGATAAGCGTACATGGTAACTTGGAACTTAAATAATAAAGAAAATTTAATGAAAAATTTCGAATATATTATAATATCATGTTAAACCGATTTTACCTGATGAGAAATGCGTGTTTCCTTTGTTGCTTTGGCATCCCATATCATTAGACATTTTTTACCACCCTCCTCGATAACTTCTATAAAGTCAGGAATAAAAGGTCTTAGCCTAACATTCTTGATTCCTAATTTATCATATAAGTCATCTGGAACTTCGAATTTTAGCTTGTATAGGAATCTTCCTATTTGAGCATTTTGTAAAGTTTTTAATATTTCAGAAAAGCTTGTATTGTTGTGGTCGTCTACATTCTTTAGCAGATTAACGACTTTTTTTTCAAATTCTATGCCTCTATTTTGTGAAGCTTCTTTTAATGTTGTATGACCCGTTTTTTGTTTTTTGTAACCATTTGTTTTTATACTAAATTCTTTATTTTGTTTTGTTTTATTATTTTTATAACTAATCTTTTGTAATAATTTTTCACAATAAAGGTTATGATACTGCGAAAGATTTGAGATTGTGAACGAAGGAATTTCTGAATTAGATAGCTATGTCGAAGTTAAATAATACATGTTTATATCTTAATTTTTTAAATGAAATATATCTTTATGATTAACATTAGGTTTTACTAACCTGCGACATTTTTTTGCAAGTTCGCTTAGATATCGGTTGTTCTGCAATGTACATTTGCATAGGTCAATAAAGACCAAATAAATAAATAAATAAATAAAATATTTTTTATTAGTTTTTTTTTGACTTTTTTTTTTTTGGACTTTAAGTTTTTCTAATTTTATGAATACTATAGCTTAATAAATACCTAACCAAAGTTGGTGATTTGCGATTCTTTTTGATAGGAATTTTAAAATTAATGACTTCGAATAAAATAAGCACGAATTCATTTTTTTAGTGATCTATAAAGAGTTTACTTTAAAAAAAATGAATGAATGAAAAAGATTAAGCTCTCGTTTATTTTCGAGCATCCTAATAATATGAGCTAATATGCAACAATATGCAGCATAGAATTTTAATACCCCTTAAATTTTTTGATAGTGGGACAGGTTATTTGGCAATGCAATTACCTGACAGCTTATTAAATTAACTAATATCTTTTTTGAGGCAGAAAGCTTATTTTTAATATTTATTCGCAATAATAACAATGTCAAATGGCATGTCTCAGTAAGCCTAGGTAATAAATTAAACGTAATCTAATGGGTTTGGTGCATACAGTATTCGTTAAATCATTCTTGCAGAATAGTGCAGAATAGACCCTCATTAAATCAAAATCATAATTATAATGATAATTCGTCAGACTATTAAAAGAAATTAAATAAGGGGTTCAGTGACTCTATTTAGAGTTCATTTTTACCGATTAGCCTAACGTTTTACAAATGAGTAGAATTGAATCAGATTTGGCAAGGTTGTTATCCACGATTAAAAGTTTAAATGATTTACCGGCTTCCTTCAATAGTTAAATGTACGTACGCTGTAAACGGCAAGATCGTCGGATACGTATCACTTCACCGACACTCATTTCGTAGACATAACATTTCACCGGCAAAAATTCACCGACATGTTTATTTCACCGACAATTATTTCGCTGACAAGTTTATTTCACCGACAATTTATTTCACCGAAGTTCATTTCATAGACAAATTTTTTTTATAAATTCCACTAACATTGACTTTAATTCTAGCCTGACTCTAACGACAATGACCAGAATTATTTTGTCGGCGAAATGAGTTTCGGTGAAATAAACTGTTGGTGAAATGGAAAATAAATGTCGGCGAAATAACATGTGGGTGAATTGTTGTCGGTGAAATGCTATGTCTACGAAATAAGCGTCGGTGAGGTGAGCTGAACCGAGATCGTCCTTCCCAAAGAGTTAGTACTGCGGTAATCGGTTGTACGAATTCCCGGAATTCCTGGAATTCCTAGAATTCGAGGAATTCAAAGAATAGTTGGAAAAATCAGAATAGCGAGAATAACTAGAATAACGAGAAAAATTAGAAAAGCTAGAATAATTAGAATTCGCGTTATTCCTGTATATGTAAAATTTATTATATAAGTGGAGGTTCCCTCCAGAAATAAAAGACAACTCCGGGGAGTTCGAAGTTCCAAGTTAAAGAAATCAGAGTACTTAACTTGTGGATAACTCTTAGAGTTCGAAACCTTCTAAATTCCTGAAGTAGAAGT